GTCTCTGACAGCTTTTACTGCAAAACGCCGTCGTCTCTGCAGAGGAGCGGGGGGAACCAGCTGATCGACGGGGCCAGAGGGGCTCCGCAAGTCAAGACAGTCTGATCAGGTTCAAGACAGGGGCAACAATTTGGGATGAGGGAAAAAGAGGAGCCTGATAATGTGCTGTTAGGAATCTAATCTGTGTGATGTCAGCACGCTGGATTGGTAGGAGATAATAAAAGGTTGGGATGAAATTACTGTGTGATGGGAGAATGAAAAGGCTCTGAGCTCCTCTGGGCGGGGAGAGACGGATCAAATCGAATGCATTTTATCACGCGTCGGTGCCGCTCTAAATTTGGGCTGTTTATTTTCAGCAAAACACCTGTTTTGGTTCTGGGATGTGACAGAACTCAATATGCAGAAGAGATTTCTGAACGCTTTATCTTGAAATTCAAAATAAACGGGACTTTGGAGCATATTAAACATCATGCAGATTGTCAGGGTGGGAGAACGGAACGAGTCAGCCAATCAGAATCAGACAAATCGTAATGTTGCCTATTATACAATAGTTTTAGGGTCAATACAATAGTTTATAATATAATCTGATATGTTTGGGTCAAAATACAATCATTTAAATTTGGTAATCCTGGATTAATGTTTGTGTTATTATTTTTTATTGATAACGTGTTTTCTTTGMGTCTCTTCCAGAGGAAAACACACCTGGACCAGTCCTGTGATTCTCTGTGTCTCCTTCCTGTCCCCAAACCCAGCCGGTCGAGGCAGATGGACGCCTGTCCTGAGCCTGGTTCTGGTTCTGCTGGAGGTTTCTTCCTGTTCAAAGGGAGGTTTTWKTCTCCACTGTCARCAATGTGCTGCTCAGGATGGGAAATAAAGATTCAACACAATCTTGTGGCCTCTTTAGATTTCTGTTTTTTTTTTTTTTTTGTACAGTGCTTTGAGACGACGCATGTTGTGATTTAGCGCTATATAAATTGAATTGAATTATTGAATTGAATAACAGTCAACATGTGGGTAGACGAGGAATTAAAAACATCTCATACTGTGTCCCTGCAAGGACACATTGGACACATCGTATTCTTAARCTAAATTTCTCTTACTTTTGTTCGTATAAAGGGTTCATATGAACATGCCACCATGCGACCCTGAAAAGGAAGAAGCGTGTACAGAAAATGGATGGATGGATGGATGGATGAACATGCCACGTCAGATTCAACAAACTCTTCTATCTTCAGGAAAAGTGTGTAAATGAGCTGCGTAAACATGATGAATGTGTATCCAGGTGCTCGCACATGAGGAGAGGAGATTAGCATAATCTACCACCCCAAAAAACGCCATAAGGCAATGCTTCCTGCCTGACATACCAGGAAGTTTTCATTCATAAATGACATCACAAAGTAAAAAGATGAACTTCACGAGTTTGGAGATTGAAGTCCTGCTGTCAGAGATCCAGAAAAGAAAATCTGTCATTTTTAGCAGCGTCAGCTGTGGAATTAAAGGAGCTGCTAAAGCCGAGGAATGAAATGATGACTACTGTTAATGTCCTGATGCATCTCAGTAATCCAGGTAAAAAAATCAAAAAGAAAAAAATTGTATAGGTCTTCTGGACGGGTTC